TGGTCTTTTTTTGTCTTTGCATATTTGATTAATCTTTGTAGCTTTATGATATCTTTTTCTTGTTGTTGTGTTTTCTGGCTAGTTCTTATATTTGCCATTGTATTGTATATTCTTTTTTTAGGCAAGTGCTTATTTGCTGCAATAACAATTGCTTCTTCTATTGTATCCCATATATCATTTATTTTGTTTATATGATCCTTTATATCTTGCACTTCTGTTTGAATGTTTTTAAGACTTTCCTTTACTTTTAATCGCTTTTGCAACTCCTGCACATAATTTTCTCAATTTTTTGGTTTTGCCCGATCATATAAATATAGTGTTCTTAATTGTCCTTTTTTCTTAACCTTTGCTTTGCTGTTTTTACTTACCATATGTTTAATCTATATTTCTGCAGTTATTATTCTATGATCACTATCTGTAATTCCTTCTGTTTCCTCAATGTTTGCTTTTTGCAAACCTGAGGCCAATTCCTCTGTCACCCAAATATAGTCAATTCTTGTTGCAGCTTCTTTGTTTGATCACATGTAATTTTGGCTTGTTGGATGCATATTTCTATATGTGTCTATGAAGTCTTGTTTCTTTATCCAATTAAAGATCAGTAATTTCTTAAAATTTTCTAGCTATATATGTTGTCTATCTAATATATTGTCTGCTGTATGATTAAAGTTAACAATAATTACAACTTGTGTCTGTCTTTTCCATTTAGCAACCATTTCTACAATCTTTTGTTGGATGTTTTTCCCTATTGTCTTATTATTCGGTGGTATATAGACTCCTACCACTACTAGCTCCAATTGTTTGAAGTATAGTATAATTTCTAACATATATTCATTTATTCTCTTAACTGCACCCACATGCTTTTCTCATTCTTCTTCTATTAGTATTCCTATACCTGAACCTTTTTTTTTATCTTCTGCTGCATTTGACCAGTACCCTATATAGTTCTTGCTTGCTGCATATGTCAGAAACCTTCCTTTTCTTTTAGTAATGTTTGTTTCTGTAATTTCCAATATTGCGATTTCCTCTTCTTCTGCCCAGCCAAGCAGATTTTCTAATTTCCAACCTTTGGTCTTAAGTCCATTGATGTTGTGGCATGTTAGCTTTATCTCTTTCTTTCCTTCTTTCTATTTTTCTTTTAATAGTTTCTCTTTTGTTCTCATATCTTTAACTTTTTCCATTTCTGCTCTGTATTCTTTTTCTTGACAAGGAGATCTTATTTCTCTTTCTTCTTCAAAGGCTCTTCTTTCATTTTGTAGAAATGCTTCAATTTCCTTGTCTATATTCATTGGTTCAACTGTGGCACTCTTAGAAGCGTTTAGGTTGGTTTATCCCATTATCTCCTCTGTCTTCTTTTAGTCTTTCTAATCTTTCTAGTATTTGTTCTAAGATATTTCCAATATGTGAAGTTTCTTCTTGTGTTTGAAATTGGATTTCCTTTTCTTTCTTTATTTTCTTCTGCTTCTGGTTTTTGATTGTTGAACTCTCTCTGTAATGCTTTCTGTTTCTATTATCATTTCTGTTCTTGTTGTTTCTTTGTTTAATTTCTTTTCTTCGATTATTTCTATATCCTCTTCATCAGAGCTTTCACTATTACAATTTCTTCTTTTGTAGTTCGTAGTGTCATTTTTCTTTTCACTCTTTCCTTTCTTTTCAATATAGTTTGACCAAAATAATAAGTGATTGTTAAATCTTATTGGCTTTGTTTGTGCTGCACTCATTTCTTTCTCTGTTGTAAACATTATTGCTGCAGATCTTCTCTGATTTCTATTTCTGTTAAATGAAATATATACTGATTTTGCTCCTCTTTTTTTCAGGCATTGTAATAGTAAAACTTCTAATGCATCGCTTAGTAGTTCTAATATTTTTGCTGTGAATTGGTTCCATGAGTTGCGTTGGTTAAAGTTTTCTTCTCCTATAGTTACTCTCGCTAGCCTGTATATGCCAATTGGCAAAGACCATGGTACAGTTTCTTCTTTTATATTTTTTGCTCTAACTATAGCTAAGGCCTTATATTTGGATCTTTTGATGAATTTTATTTGGGTTTCTTTAAGATTTCTACACATGTATTCAACTTCTTCTGCATTGATGTTTGCTAGTAAATCCCATATTGTCAGAAGGATTAGGAGGATTAAAAGGTGGTGATAGAGGTAAGGGTACAACAAGAGGTTGATATATAGGAGGTGAAGATGGTGGGGCAACAGGAGGTTGGACAGAGACAGTATAGAGAAAGTTATCTAGGTCAATATCTGATTCGTGGTTTGAGTCTAATTCTTCATCACTAGAATTTCTAGATTCAAGAATATTTTCTTGGTCAAATCGAATAATCCAAGAGGGAGTATCGTTGGTTTCTGGTGGGGTTTGGTAAGTGACTTCTTCACTATATAGGGGAAGGCTATCTTCTGGTTCGTAGAAGTGATGAGTATCTTCTGGTA